CGGAAGCGTATCAAGCGGTATCATGATGGGGAACGACAATGACGAGCGCCCACGCGGTCACCACAAGACGAATAGTACGGGAAGCATTTTGCAGACAGAAAGCTACGACACGGCCAATGCTGAAGTGCTTAAGAACCGACAGCTACTGGCGAGTGGTATCAGGAAGATCGAGGGTCGCACAGTCGAAGCCCACATGTTTCGACGCATGCAGGACATGGTCAAGTCGAATCAGGAAATTTGGGGGCCCAATGACGAAAACTTTGGCAAGCTACTCGTGGCTTGTCTCGACTTCCTCGAGGCACCAGTTCATGAGTTGAAGGCACCCCAGATAAAGGCTGTCAACTTGAAGGTACAGGCGCTAGCGACGATCCGTGCGTTGCTCTCTCTATACCGCAAGGAGACCTCGCGGTACTCTGCCCGTGTGCTTCGAACCATTTTACAGACGAAGGCACAGTATGAGAACACTTCGCATATGGCCATGGATCTCGAAGTCACGGCAGACGAGATTGTCAAGTATGGCCACACATTGGACTGCCTAGAAACCGTCCTTTCCCTCATCGAAGACTTGTCCGCCTCGACGCCATCATCCTCACCAAGCTCCAAGTCCTCAGTATGCTCGCTCCCCGGTCAAACACCCACCCGCACGATAACCATGTCGCTCAGCACGCTCGCATCACTCGTACAGATCAGCGGCGAGAAGAACCTTGCCTTGTCACCCGAACAGACTGCCCGCCTCGGCAGACTAGCCGTCCGCTGCATGGACGACCAAGACGCCGACGTCCGCAAAGCCGATATTGAATTCTGCGTTGCCCTCCACCAGCGCATTAACGGCTCAGATGCTGCAAAAGAAGACGGCGGGTTCTGGAAAGTCGTTGCTGGGGCACGAGAGCAACATCTCAACTTGCTTACTTACTACCTTGCTAAGAAGAGCAGGACGTAAGGTGCGGGGGGCTCGAGTCCTTCTTCTTTTCCACCTCTGTGTGAAAGGGAAAAGTACCACTGGTGTCTTTTTTTTGTCTTCGTGGTCGTCATCACCCTGCATTTCACTGCCTGGGAGGAGAAGTGTTTTTTTTTTCTTTCTCTCTCTTCTTCCTCTTTTGCCAAGGGGTATACATAGGGTAGGGGGGAGGGCGCTTTTGAGCGGGTTCATGGAGACAGGGTTTGGGACGGAGGCACTTGGGACAGGGGTTTTTTTTAGTAGAAATCTTGAACTTGAGTGGTTGATTCTCTCTCCCTCTCTCTCTGTCTCTCACGTGTCGGGTGGTTTTGTTATAGTACACACCATTCTGGGTGGGCTTTATCATGGAACTAGGGGATGAGGGGAACTGTTTGTGCTTCTACGCTATGGAAGGGGAATTGGCTCCGGCCTTTCGGGAACAATTTTTGTGAAACAAAATTTTGGGATTTATTAGAACTAGTCATACAGATA